GTATACCGATGATACTATCTACCTATACCCGATATTTCTTTGAATGATTATAATAGTTCAGCACTTAGCCAATAGTATGTGTTACATTCCGTTTCGATATTAGAAAGTCCAAAAATAAATATTCTACAAAGATTTAAAAAAAATAAAATACTAATGATATTAGAAAAGTCCCCCGTTTCAATAAGTACAAAAGAAAAAATGCCACAAACAAATTATCAAGCTCTCATAACAGACCATGTTAATCAAAGGAAGAGAAAAAACAAAAAAAAGGAAAAAAAAATCCAATCACCACTGATCCCATCCGTCAGTTTCTCCTTCTTCGTCGACCGCGTGGTTTTCTTTGTCAAACCCGGAAGGGTAAGGTGATTGCGGAGTAAGATTATTTTTTGCGGTAACAGATTCACTCGCAGGATTTTCTGTGGTTGGAGATATTAACGAGTTTTCTTGAGAAAAGTTTTGCAAGTTGTTCGATTCAGCCGAGATTTGCAAACATGATAGATCAATAGAAAGAGACTGCATCCCGGTTTCCTCACTGTTTTCTGTCTGATTGACGTTAGTGACAAAAGAAGTTGTCCAAACAGAAGGGGAGAGGTTGGTCGGCATTGCAGAAAGAATCGGATTATGAAATGGATGATATTCGAATGCAGTTTGATTATTATTAAGAATGACATGATGATTGGGGCTTGGAAACCAATGAGTGGGAGGATCGTTGCTAATGGTCGACGGCAAATTTTCAAACTTGGAAGGCGATGCAGGATTTTGGATTGGAGTATTGTTAGGTCCTACGGGTGTTTCTACACCAAGACCAGCTGGTGAAGTAAATATTTCTTGTTGGCCGTTGGACCAGTAATAGGATTCGGAAGAACCTTGATAAAAGGAATCGAGCATTTGTTCGGACAACGACGACACCTCTAAAGGGGAGGTCTCAAGTCCTAAAGAGTGAATAAAAAGAAGGAACATTAATTTAATACTAGACGAAGTAAGTAAGTAAGTAAGTAGAAAAGGAAAGAAAAAGAGCATGTATTTACTTTGTTCGCTCGGGAGACAATTACCATTACCAGTGTTAAAGTTAGCTGACGTGTTCCAATAGCTTTCCTGTTGAAGTAATCCAGCCGCAGAGTCGCATTCTCTGTTGTTTTCATTGTTCATATTATTATTCGAGACCGTCTGAGGATAATGTGAAGATTGAATATTTTCTCCCGAATGTTTATTGTTCGATGAAGTTAGGGCGAATGAAATGTTTGCAATACTTTGTGTATTGATAGGTCTGATCATTCTTTGAGATGATAAATCATCCTTCGAATTAGAATCATTCGGAGAACTTGCATAAGAAGAAACAGGTGACGAAGAAGGCATTGACTCAAACTCGGTGATTTTCTTCTCCTGACAGTAATCGGGCGCCAGAGTTAATTGTTTCGGCCTGTTCATCTTCGCGGCATTCTTCGACTCCAAAGCATCCCTTTTTACTTTTGCTCTACGATTCTGGAACCAGACCTGGACCGCACGAGATGACATTTTCAGTTGTTTCGCCAGTCGAGTGCGCAAATCAGCATCTGGTTTTTGCACGTCTTCGAAAGTGCTGATCAGAACATTTGTTTCCTCTTCGGTGAGACGACGACGACGTTTCACCTGACGATAAGGGATTATTGATGGATAAGGAAATATAGGTCCACCAAGTGGAATCGTTGGAGATGAAGGCTCGGAAGAAGAATCGTTTACTAAGAGACCGCCACCACCGTCATCTTTTATATCTTGATCACTCACTATCTCTCTACGAAATAGCGGCTGATGCAAACCGTCACCAAGGTTTGTTCCACCGGAATTACTATTACCAATGTTCATCAAATTCGTTGTTGTCGAAGGTTGGTTGTAATATTGATCCGATTGAAAAGGAAATGCGGCGATCATTGAATATTATTTAGTAAATATAGAGATAGGAAAAAGGTTGTCCTGAGAGAAATAAAAAAAAAAAAGACGATGATGACGTGGTGTTGTGACTGCGGGAATATATGCTTATCTACTTTTTCTAATTTAGCTGATAGTGAATGCAACGATTTTGATAAATTATTTGTTACTACATATACAAAGAAAACGATGAAAATGCCTTCTAGGTAAGAAGCAAAAATTTGGCGCTAAAAGAAATCAAAGAAATCGAAGAAATGAAAAAACCAGTAAAATATAAATAAGACAAATTGAAAATATACAAACTTTATATAAAAATGAAAAAGACAAGATATTTATCACCTTTCATTAATAAATTTTATCTCCCGTCCTGATCCTTCTTCGTTCCTTTGGCTCGCAAAGATTTAATTTATTAAATGATTTATATAATGGATTTTTTTAGAACAGAAATTCAACAGAGGGGAGCAAGAATCATTAATCCAACCACAAAAAAAAAAAAAACAGATCAGTTGACGCAACTCAAAACTCCAACATTTTTTTTTCTTTTTTGAATTTGTCAGGAAAAAAAAAATACATCAATGATTTATCAGTTGATTTATAGTTTTTTGTGTGAAAAAAAAAATGTATATATATATATATATATATATATATACATCGGTTTTTAATGAAATTGGTGATAGATAACTACAGCTGCATACGTTTGTTATATTTAATGTCATCTCTATCGATTCATTATTTCATTATGTTATGTTATTATAGACATTGAGTCACTGTTGTGGACAGTTGTTTATACTATTATACACACCACATTACAATAGTTGTTCGTGAGTGATTATATGGAGCCGAGAACTGATTTCATAATGCGCATGTAAACTTTTTTCAACCATTCTACTGCAAATTATCGTTTTCTTATGCCACGTATGGTCATGAGTTTCGTTTTTTTTTGCCATTAATTAGTCACATCGGAATATTGATGATTTCCCTTATTTTAAATTTGATTCTGGCATTTTTTTCGGGACATAAAAAAAATGAGTCAATTATACTTTCTTCACTTGATAATCAAACTTCGATCTAAACTCCTCTCGCGAGTTGTTATCTGCCGTACATCATGATTACGCTATATTAGCCGAGGGCAGTTATGACAATATGACGCGTCCATCATTGCCTACCCATATAGTATATCAATGGCCTGATCGTTCAAAATTGCAAGAAGCAACCAGATTTAGTCCTTTACAAATGGTAACCGCTTAATATGGCACGTGACATACATACACAAAAAAATCCTGGTTTTCTTCTAGAGCACATTGCGTAATGCGTGATTTTCGAATTTCCCTTTTACTTTCTATATTCGGACATCAATCAAACTTTGCCTTATATAACAACAGACCGTGATCACGGAATATGAATATAGTAATGAGGAAGCGCGTTTATATGAAATTAGTAACATCGAAACTCAATTTATTAAACACTCTTGTTACACGACAAATCGTATGATCAACGTACCAAAATTGTCATCATTAATAACATCGCAGTTCAAAAAAAAAAATAATGTATATTTTATATATGGGAAAAGTTATATCAAGTCCCTTCAATCCCAAAAAAATAAATGTTTTTTTTGACGAATACCATGGTGATCAACGGTAATATACAGTATATTATATATAAAATAATTTCTAATTTTAATTATGTCAAATAATAATTAACGAATGTTTCAAGCTAACATTCTCAATGTTTTTCCGTCTTTATACAATAGGGGGTTTTTTTTAAAGAAAATAAATTAATGATAAAAAAAACGTGCGATCTGTGAATTTAACAAAAAATTGGTGAACTTAATTAATGTATTTAATGTATTGAATTCTACTATGCGATTTTAAAATTTTACTAATTTACTGCATCTACGATACACAAAATTTGAAAAATACAATAATTTCAAAAAAATTTTTTTTATTGTTTTTATTTTTCAACCTAATATAATATACAATAAACAAAAAAATTGGTTTATAAAATAATTTTGTTTTTTGTTAAAGTTCTTATTATTTTATTTTATTATTTTAATGTTGAATTTTTTTTTTTATTTATCTATTTTAAATTTGATTGATTTTTAATCAATACATACGTATAATATATCCAAAATCAATTTATCATAAATTAGTATGGTTAAAAACATTTGATTAATTACGTATAAGGTTGAAAATTACATAGATCTGTATAAACCCATACACATAAAAAACATCCAATGCACAGTGATCGTGAATTTTTCTAACAAATTTAAGAAATTAAAATTGTTGAAAGATCTTGGTTACACTTATTGAATTTAGGGATTATTAAACGTTATATCAATAAAAAAAAAAAAAGTTTTCTTAAAAAAAGATTATTTATAACAAAAATATAAATAATATATTTGTTTCACTTTTATTTACAACTCATAATTTGAATTCATTATTTTTTTTTTTAATATATATTTTATGTTTATTTTAAAATCTATTTTTTTGGTTAAATTAACAAATTATACGGTTATTTTATCAAAACTTAATTGCGTTTATTTAGCTTATACAAAATACATATACAGATCATTATCTGTATAATATATTTAATATAGTGATGCAAATTCTTTACTGTATTCTAAATCTTTGATATGTGCTGGTAAATTTTAAAAAAGATTAATAAAATTCAAAATTATACTTATAGACTATATCCTACCTGCGCATGTTATTGCTACTATAAAACAAAATAAAATCCTTCAATAAGGTTTTCCAACAAATTTCTACACACAATTTCAACGGAAAATCTGCGTTAACTTTCAGGTAACCTGCATTAAATTTTAATCCAAAAATCAACTCATTTCTTAATTCGGTTTAACTTTCCCACAAAATATTTGCTCCATCGCTAATATAACTTTCTCACGCTAGCATTTACGCTCAGATTGCAGATCCTGAATTCTTGGGGTACGATCGCCGACTAGTCGCATCTTGGGCCTATCGAGTATTTGTGCATGGTATTTTTTCACATTATATTTAGATAAATAATGAATACATTGAGCATTTATTATATAATGTTCAATAATTAATAAATATTCAATAATCTATTATCATTATCCCTTAATCTATATTACAGGCAGAATTTAAATTTAGCACGTGACTTATGCTGTGCTCCAAACCTTTCCCTTTTTGGTGGTTATCTCACTCTGTCGGTACCGAGTTAAGAAATTTATACCTCCGGTAAGCCATGGATACAAGTGCAAATATAATCATTCCGAATATAAAACTACCTATTGCGACGACGGTAACCACTCCTGCATCGGTTTTAGTAATAACTTTGCTACCGTCATCGGTTGCAGCAGGTGTTAGCTCAAAGAGATTAGTTGGATAATTTAATACATCAGAGAAATTTAAACTGCCTTTAATATTACTAATACTAGTAGTTGAAACTCCTGAATCTACGGTGTTGAATTCAAATCCACAGATCCAGATTTCTCCTGTACCTAAAATAACAATAATAGGTATATAAAAGTATTAATATTAAGAATTATAATGAAAGGTCTAGTTTATTGTTATACATATATAGGCTCACCATGTAGACGACTACCAAAGGAAATGTAGAGTGTGTCTTGAGGAACATCTAAAACGTTTTTAACCTTTTTCCAATCAGCAGTACCTACAATAATAATATTGAAATTCAGTTACATGTTGAAATTAACTTAAGCAATAAATATACAGTATATTACCTATTATATTTCCGTCCAGCTCAGCTAAAATGGAATTTGTCGCTCTATAAATTTGCAAAAACATACTAGCCGTGTTTATAACATTCTAGATAAAAATAAATAAATAAATAAATAAAATAAATAAAGTCATCATGATTTTTCTCTAATGAGAAGATAATTAATTTCTTACACTGGTTTTCACAAAACCTGTTAATTGAACTCGTTTGCCTAAAAAACCTTGAGGATTAAATGGCTGGTGCACGGTGCCAAAGACTTTATCCGTCATACTATATTCAAATTTGGGGTCAGATTTCAGGAATATACTTCTAGGCTATTAAAAAAAACATTATGAAAGAATTCGTATTATTATTTAAAACTAGAAGAATTATAAAAATCCTACCACAGTTTCAACACCCGACAGATAAAGTTCGGGATTATCTCCACCATGAAGCCATCTCGCTGATTGAATAATATTTTATTTTTTGTTTTATTTAAAAAAAATAGACATTTAACCGTTCTGATTCATACCAGGCAAACTAGATGAAACTTCGGCATAAACGAAAAATGGGATAATGGAAATGTACAGGACCACTTTTAGCAAATTTAAGGGCAGGTTTTCCATTGTGACAATATTTGAGAAAAGATCCCAAGCACTATAACTTACTATTGATGATTACATTTTATACGGTTGCATGTGTACTAAATAATTCTATAATTGATTCTATAACTAATAATAGCAGAGATTTATTACCAATTATAAGGTTCTCCTTGTTAATTATAAGTCGAAAACCGAAGTTAGAAATAGCGATTTTAAATATTAGAGTTTAAGTTTTAAATTTAGATGTTCAGTGTTTGTAATTTTAAATTTAAACAATAAAATAAATAAATGAATCGATTAAAATGTAGTCATTGATAGTTAACAATGGGATTAACAAATATAGGTTTGATTGATTAATCACGTTAATCACATGAAATTGATTATTTAAGCTTTGTAACAAAATGTCAAATTTCATACTATTTTTATTTTCCAGTTCCTCCATTTTATACTTTCTTGGCTGTATTTTTTTTTATTTTATCTTTCATGTTTTAATAATTGATTTATATTTGAGTAATTATTTTTAAAGATAATAAGAATTTTTTGGATATTATAATTGTGCTTCTTAAAATTATATTGTATATATATTTTTTTAAAATAAGAATTAAAAACATATATATTATTTCATTACCTTCAGAAATAACAATTTATTTATTTATATTTTATTTTTCAAGAATTTCAGATATGGTAAATATTTCTGATTAATTTTATTTAAATATTTTATATAATATTGTATTTATAATTGCAGATTGATGTTTTTAAATTAAAAGATAATATATTAGCATTAATACAAAATAAATAATTATATAAGAAAAGACAATAAAAATTTATAACAATTTTGATAACTATATCAAGAAATTTTTTTGGTGGAGATCTCCAGAGATCTCTATCCAAAAAAAATTTTCAAAAATTTCTAGAAAAATCTTTAAAAATCTTCAAAGGTTTTTAAGAATTTTTAATATAGAATTTTTTAAAATAAAAAAATTTTGGAAATTTTTATTTCAAAAAAATTTAAATTTCTTCAAAGTAATAATCATTATTTTAAAATAAATAATTATTTAATA